TCTTTTATTGTTCCAGAGCATCTTACTTTCTCTTTTGCTTCTCTAGCCCACCTGCCAGGGCCTCTGAGTGCCCACTGATGTTAGGTAGTTCTGTGCAGGTGTTTTGTGGAGTGGAATAGACTGGTTCTGGCAGCATCATCTGGGTTCCAAGAGGGAGACTGTGGGGCAGAGATGATGATGAAAGTTGACTCATTTCCTTTTTTTGACTTTCTCCTCGAGAAAGATGTGGCTGGTACTCAGTGACAGGACTGTGTGAGATTGGAGGAGACAGGCGGTAGGAAGTAAGACACGTTTGATTTCACCTTGTCCACTTTGCCCAGGGACAGCTGTCATCAGCTGCTCATCACTGTAATGGAGAGCACTTACCCTCCTGATCAGAAACAGCCTTATTTATTAAAAGAAAAAACAAAAAAAAAACACAAAAATAAAACTTTGGGCCTATAGCACTTTGACCAGATGAAAATTTTTGTTAAAAGTTAAAAAGTGTTGTAGTAATAACATCAGGGAATATTGCTACCCGAGAAAAATCGTAGTAAGTTGGATATTTTAACTTTGTTTTTAGCTCCTAATTATAATGTCTGTTTTGGCCCAAGGCCAGTCTCTATCTGTAGTTCCAAATTAATTCCAAGACCCTAGCCATATCTTTTTTGTACTCAACTATTCCACGTGAGGCACCATGAAAGCTATTAAAAACCAAACCCAAGATTGACCTAGTATCTTTTCATGTCTCTGTGTATTTGGAAAGAGAAGGTAGAACACAGGTCCTCAATTCTTAATCTGAAAATCATGAGGTTGGATGTGTTTTAGAAAGCATATGGGACGTAAGGTATACTGCATGTCACATCTCCAGATGTGTGGACATACTTCTAACATAGTTAATTAGGAGTATTCACACTGAGCGGGGGAATATACAAACGTAAATAATCTGATGTCAGGTCAAGCATTCAGACTTTGATTTTGGGAATTGTGAATAAGAGATTGTGGGCTTGTTTTAAAATGTATTCAAGTGTTCAGAGGAATTAGTTATGAGTCATGTTCAGGAAAAGGGAATATCAACTGTAGGCTGGTGTTAGACAAGGTGGGATTTTATCTGGTTTTGAAGGTCTGGATGGGATTCAATTTGCTCACTGTTGAACCTCTGGCAGCTAGAATGGCACCAGGCACATATTTGATGAATAAATATTTGACAGATGAGTAATCTGTGGAGAGAAGGCGGAAGAACATTTCTGTCCGAGGAGATGACCTGGAGGGAGGAGTGAAGGGAGTGAATTTGGTGACTTGTGGGTGATAGTCTGGGGTTTGCTCTGGTTGAGGTGAATACTCCACAATAAATATGGGTAGGTGAGGTAGGGCCCATTGTAGATATTTGTGTATTTATGCCTTACCTACTACCTCAACAGAGGAATCTAGACTGGATCTGAGTGATGGCTTACTCTTAAATGGAGATGGCAGATAATTTAGATAATCAGTCTGGTTTGAAAAAGGAAAAGAAAAAGAAAAAATGATGTTCAGAATGAATTATAGTCGTGTGTGCTTCCCTACAGGGGTGTCTTAATAAATATGTGTGTATAAAACTCAAGACTGTGTTGAAGAAGCAGAGATGAGTCTGAATGTGAAGAAATTGTGCACATTGACCTAGTGAATTTGGAAAGTGACAGAGAGGAAGTCAAAGAAAATTTCCAAATTCTAATACGTGGTGATTAGAAATAGTGACTCCTTGGGCTGAAAGGGGAAAATGTGGAAGAGAAGCTGGAGAGACTGATAAACTCACTCATATGACTTGGCATAAGGATTGGTTCCTATTCTTCAAATGTATTTATTTGTTGTCTTTTAAATGATATGTGTATGTTCAGAGATATAAAGTATGTTTCAGTTTTCTTAATTCAGACCTTTTTAAGGATGTTGTAACAAGAAACAAAATCCTATGTGACGTGTGTGTGTGTGTTACATGCTGTTTCTAAGCTGCTTTTATATGAGGTTTATTTAAATTTCATCTTAAAAATGTAGAAACTGTGTTGAGTAGCATCAATTCCCCCTTGCACCTTTCATTATGCATTAGCAATTAACTCAGCTTCTCTCAGGTTGATGAATTTGAACTTGATCAATTATCTGATAGTAATTACCAGCACAGAGTGATGATTATTGCTGAGGTAACATTCTTATTTCATTTCTCTGTGCATTTCAGGCATGTCTCAAAGATGCACGTTTGCTTGACTGCAGAATATGACTTGCTCTTTTGGCTTCTGGCACCGAGGTCAAACTATTTTAGGTTTTTTAAATGGAGTAGTATTGAAAAACAGTCCTCTGATATTTTAAACTCTGGACATGGCCTTCTGGCTTCTAGGAGAAGGAAGGAATGAGGCCCAGTCTTTTCTCCCGTAGCAGGCTCAAAATCTGATTTTTGTGTTTCTTGACAATTTCCTTTCTTTTTTACCAACTCCTGGCAGGGCTGACCTGAATTTGTTTCCCTCTCTTGGAGTCCGTGAGCTTCCCCATCAGGAAGGTGCCTCTCTGCTGCTTTGATTCTTTAGCATTCAAAGCATCTTTAGAACAGATATGTGTAGACTGAAGGGCTAGCCTTTGCTGTTCTGGTTCTTTGAGCTCTGTTGAGATAATTGAGAGACAAGGTGTATGTGTTTGCTTGGATTGCCATAATAAAGTCCCACAAACTGGGTGGCTTATACAACAGAAATGTATTTTCTCAGAATTCTTGGGGCTAGAAATCTGAGGTCCATGTGTCAGTAGGTTGGCTTCTTTGGAGGGCCCCTGTCCTTGGTTTGTGGGTGACTGGCTTCTCTCTGTGTGTGTCCCAACTTCTTTTTTTTAATGTTTATTTATTTTGAGAGGGAGATTTAAAAAATTTTTTCTTATTTATTCTTGAGAGACAGAGTCAGACAGAACATGCATGGGGGAAGGGCAGAGAGAGAGGGAGACACAGAATTGGAAGCAGACTCCAGGCTCCCAGCTATCAGCAAAGAGCCTGATGCACGGCTCGATCTCACAGACCATGAGATCATGACCTGAGTTGAAGTTGGACACCTAACCGACTGAGCCACCCAAGCACCCAAAGGATTGGTTTCTTCTGAGGGCCATGGTTTGTGGGTGACCATCTTCTCCCTGTGTGTCCCGACTTCTTTTTTTTTGTAAGTGTTGATTTATTTTGAGAGAGAGAGCAAGCAAGCAAGCAAGGGAAGGGGGGAGAGAGAGGGAGAGAGAATCCCAAGCTGGCTCTGTGCTGTTAGTGCAAAGCCAGACATGGGGCTCGAACTCACAAACCACAAGACCATGACCTGAACTTGGGCGCTTAACTGACTGAGCCACCCAGGTGCCCCCCCAACTTCTTATAAGAACATTAAACATACTGCTTTAGGACCTACCCTAATGACATAATTTCAACTTAATTACCTCCGTTAAAGACCTTATTTCCAAAGACGGTCAAATTCTGAGGGTAGTGAGGGTTAGGACTTCAACATATGGATTTTGGGGGGATGCAAAATGTAGCATATACAAGACAAATGGGACATTTGAGAAGCTTAAAAAATTATTAAGGAGAAATAAATGAAAGGCAAAATAGAGAAAAGGAAAATGAAGACTTGCTTTTGCAAGGAGTGATAAGAGCTTTTATGTGTGCCATGCGTTACAATTGATAGTACATGTCTTGGTATCATCTCAGTGTTTTCCCCCCACCAAACACAAAGTGCAAGGTGCTGTCCTTGATCTCAGATACATCATCGAGACTCAGGTCTCCCATCTTGCCCATGATCTCAGAGCTCAGGAGTGACTGAGTCTTGACTGGAAGCCAGCCCTTCGGACCCTGTCTGGTCTTTTCATCACCCATGTGAGTAGATGAAAAGAAAGTAAGCTCTCCTAGGCAAATTCCGCGGCTTTTTTGGTGTTGTTGTGTTTGGGAAACTTTGGGGATTAGAGGCATCATCTTCTTTTCAGCCAGTTGTGTTCTTGTTAGTTTTAACATTGGTTGTGCAGAAAACAAACACCTGCAGCAAGCTGCAACTCTTTTGAGAAGTCATGATTTTTCAAAGTTGTTATTTTATCATGAAAGCTTTCAAGCATAAAAAGAGTAGAGAGAGTGGTGCAGTGAACTCCCATATTCTTATGGCTCAGGCTCAACACTTAAGATTTTGGTAAAATTGCTTCATCTATCCCTTCCTTGCTCTTAAAGCAAATCTCAGATAGGTTCCTTTCACTCTTTTCAGTAGGTACCTTAAAAAAAATAGGGACATTTTCTGACATACTCTTAATGTCACTCAGAGTTTCCCAATTGCCTCAAAAATGCCCTTTTACAGTTGGTTTATTCAAATCAATATGCTGTGTATATTGCCATGTATTCAATATACTAAATTCTGTTTGACAATATATTTTCTTGCCTTTATTTCTCATCTGTTGTGCCCAGAGATACTTTGTTTCCCCAGCTCTGCAGAGAGAGAATGCTGTGATTTGGCTCATTCTGATGTATACTTTGTAGTAATGTTCCTTGGGAGTTTCAGAGCTCCTTGCTGGACAGTGCATGTAACAGCTCTTAACCAAAAACAAAAACAGTTCTGCCTTAGTTTTGAATGGATTTCCATGGCCTTAAAGAATCATCTAAATAATGATTTTCTTTCTGTGTACTAATCAGCACCATGTTATTTTTAAAAGGCTGAACTTTTCAAGAAAAACAACGTGAAAGTTAGAATGCATCTTTACAAAATGCATTGGTACACATGAGTACTACTTAAGGAACTTATTTCATTAACATTGACTCATTACATTTTGTGCACATGGAACACTGTTTTTATGAGATTATTTTCCAACCATAACTCATGAATACCAAGCTGCTAAAACAAGTTGGTAAACACTTGGTTTTGTCAAACGTTTATTTTTATAGTCAACAGGAATGCTGCTAATGTGAGTTAGCAAAGATTCTGAATACAATTGTTTGCTGACAGCTTTTAAAATATGACTTGTCTTATATTTTGCTAACACTTTGTCTCTTCCAATAGGTATAAATGACCAAGGATTGTACAGAGTTGTGGGGGTGAGTTCAAAGGTCCAGAGACTTCTGAGTATGTTGATGGGTATGCCTCTTTTCTAATCATTTTCCATGCATTGTTTATTTATGTTAATTGACTTTACAACTTAATATTTCATAGTAACATACAGCACACTTGGGTGCCTCGATGAGTTTTCTCCTGAGCAGAGGTAGTTGATGCTGAGAAGTAGATTAGTGTTTGTCTCAGCACAGATTTCCACTCCCTCTTACCTTGTGTTCCATTTCTTAGTAAATGGGGGGAAAAAAGAAAAGAAAAGAATGCAGCTCATGGGTGAATGTCGTCTTGTGCTTGCTTCTCACAGGAAAGTAGCAGCCAGGCCTCTGTGATTTGCATGGCTTCCAAATTGCCCGTCCAGAGTCTTGACAGTACATTTGGTTGGACAAGACCACTGGGACTCACTCATTTTTATGTTGCTTCCAAAACTGTCACTTGACAGCAAGGATCCGATTCTTGGGGACTCATTGGTATTCACAGTGGCTTGTTCGTAGTTTGCACCAGGCTCTTCTCCAGAACCATGCATGCTCCATCTGTGCTGATAACACAGTGTTCTTTGGCACCACAGACTAGAGGAAGCCAGCAAGTGAATTCATTTCATTACCCCAGACATTGCGTGAATGACAAAGCGCTTTTACATGACACACCGCTGTCGGTTCGGTGCCACCTATAAGGTGTCCTGCCTCTCTCCCTGCCCCAAAGCTGGCTGCCTCTTGAGGAGTGATGATAACTCATCAGGCTTGAGGGCCTGTATGTCAAACCAATCTGTCATTTTGACCTTGCTAAATATTAATTAACTTGATATCTCACTTTAATTAATCAGTATTAACAATGCCCTCAGGTATGCTGTAGATGCATTTAAAACCTGTCTGCATCTTAAAGCATTGTGGGAAGGACTCGTTTTTAGGAAGCATAAACCAAGATGAATAAAATCAACTGACATGTTACAGATAGGATTGCTTGTTTGGCTGTATTTGAATTAAGGATTTAATAAGCAATAACCTTTTTTTAGCTATTAACTGCAGGAAAAATTGCCCATCATCAGTTGGAGAGCTGTCTTAGAATGCATTCGCTTTCATGAGCTGTTTTCATTTTCTGCCTCTCTGGTTTAACTTGGGTGTGCAATTTTGGCAGTCAGATTTTCCTTTTTACCATTAGTGGTCTCCAAATTAAATAGACTCAGGTTGCCAGTGGTTCAGTAGCAGCTGGAAGAGTTTAATGGGGCTACAGCATCTGCTTTTAGTTAATTTTAAAATTAGAAACACTTCGCTCATTTCCAAGATGGTGTAATAATGATTAGAATTGGAAGGCTGTTGGTATCAGAAGGGGATATTTTGGCTGAAAGGCACACTTTGGCAGTAAATTGGTCCTAAGGATCCCAGCATTATTTTTATTGTCTTCTTGTTCGTGTTCAAGGGAAGTTCAAACAAGGGTGTCTCTGTGGTCACGGGGAAGTGTTAAGCTGTCTCAAAATTTGTTCTTAATCTCATAAAATCCCTCTTGATCTGCATCCCTGAACTAAGGTGGTAGTTTCCTCTGCTCATGGGAAATGTCTCAAGATAATCCCGTACTGGCAAGGTGTTTTAAAATATCTAAACCCTCAAAAATTCATGACCTGGAAAACGGTTTTCACTTTCCATGAGACTCAGAGCAGAGAAGTCTAGGATACAAGCGCGATACAACCTAATTTCAGTTGCTGACAAAGGAAATTTGTTTTCCCAAGAAGCATTTCTTCAGGAAGTTGAAGAATTGATGAGAGGGATGACACTGACTTGATTATTTCCTTGTAAAGGGGGGTTGGGCACTACCACAATAATTATTTTACAATAATTCCTAGTATGAAATTGAAGATTGTCAATCACAAACTTTGGATTTTTTATTAGGATTAATACTGCGTTCTTGTTACTTTGTTACCAACTCAAACTTTAGGTCTTGACAAAATAGATTTATTCACTGAATCTTAATTTAAAATTCCCTTAAGATACCTTTTTCCTTCTATCCCATTCACTAAGTGTTCAAATAAATAATTTATACCTCTTCCAAAAAAAGGATTTTAAGAGTTCTGTGTAGTTGTGTATACCCTATCCACTGGATATTCTTTCTTTCCATCTTATCTCACCTCCCTATGTTGTTCTAGGGTTCTATATCTTAAAGAGAAAAAAAAAACACCGGATGAGTCTGCCAGATTTTTAGCTTTGCTCTTTTAGACCAGTGTCCCCACTCTCCCCGCCCCAGGAGTCCTGATGATTTTGCCCATTTGGTATTAGGCAATTATTTATTCATTTTTGGAGAGAGAGAGAGAGAGTGCAGGCAGGGAAGGGGCAGAGAGAGAGGGGGACAGAGGATCTGAAGCGGGTTCTGTGCTGACAGCAACAAACCCGATGTGGAACTCAGGAACCATGAGATCATGATCTGAGCCAAAGTTGGACACTTAATGGACTGAGCCACCCAGGTGCCCCAGTATGAGGCAGTTATTTTTTTAAGTTGCTATTCCTCCAGGTAATGTGTATTTCAAATTTGGATTTTTCAAAGTACAATTTGTTTGTATTGAATTTTTCTTTGTAGAGATGAGAAATAATCCATTTTTTTAATGTCTGAGAAAAAATTCCAAGGCATTTAGTATTTTTGACAAGAACTTCTGTTTACTTGGTTCTTTAGTTCTTGAGAACTAATTATTTACTTGGATGTTTTTCTATTACTGTCATTTTTATATAACGTGTGTATTGTTTGTTTGAAATGTTTTAAGTATTTACTCTTGTGTAGAAGTTTGTGATGATTTCTAAAGAAAGGATGAATGCTTAGTATCTTCCATGTTTTCTTCACTTGTTGGCGTGTTTTCACTCTTCATATTTAAGATTAAAATAAAGAAAAATCTTTCTTCCCATTCTTCATCTCTCCCCATCTTCTTCTCCCCCACACCCCTGTTTCCTCCACCCCTTTCTTCTCTCCTCTGCCAAGAAGGAGTACGAATGGTAGTTGACCACAGACAGTCCTCTAAATAGACATGTCATATCTACTCCTCCAGGTCAGGTCAGGTGATGGGAGTTGTTGTCTTAGTTGTCTTCTATCCTGGGAGCCAGAAGGTAGTGCTCAGCTCTCTTTCCCTGGACCACACTTCTTAAGTTAAA